GCCGGGGCCGGGGCCGGCGAGGGGACCCCTGGCCAGCGCCAGGTCCCACCCGCTTCCCTGCTCTGGGGTCGCTCGGGCTGAAACAAAAATCATTCGCAAGGGCATGCCATGGACCCCAAACGACGAGAAATGCGCCCACCCCCGGTCTCTCCCCTTCTCCCCCCACCCGTAACTTTGACCTCCCGTGCTCGGGGGCTCTGGGTCTTTGGGAAATTAGCTGGTGGTCCCGGGAATCCCATGACGTGGGCCCGCAGGAAGGGCCGGGAGGGCGGCGCCGCGGGCCCGGGTCCGGGAAGGCCGTCTAACCCGAGTTTGTCTGTACAGAACCTGCTGGGACTGCGCGACGCCCCCAGGCAGTTCTTCCTGCAAGTGTATCACATCCTCCGCAATGTCGGGGACACCAGGTACCCGCTGGCTTTGTTTCTGCCGCCCTGGGAGCAAGCCCGCCCTTCCAGACCCCGCCCCCGCCCCTTCTCCTGCGCTCCCAGGGGCCGCTCATTTCATCCTCCGGGGACTGGCTGCTCAAACAGGGGCCCTGGGAGCAGCACCGCGGGGAGCCGGTTAGGATCCCAGGCCCTCTGGCCGGCCCAGACCGGCTGAGTCAGTCACGGTTACCCGGTTGGGGGTCCCTGTGCACGTGGAAGGGTGAGAAGCCTGCTCTGGGCGATCTGAGAGTCCGTCATGTGACCCGTGCACAGCTGGTAGCGGCAGTGGAAAGTGACCTCGTGGCAGAGAAAGAGCAGACGGTGTCCTCTCCAAGGCACTAGCCGAAGGAGGAGGGGACACAGGGCGCAGGGAGGGCAGAGGCCACCAGGTTGTGCAGGTGCCCGAGGGATGGACGGCGGTGATCAGAGCTGGTTATGGGGTTCCTACGTGGAGGAGGGGTCCCTCCCAGCGGGCCGGCAGGTTACAGGGACAAACAGGAAATGCTCCGGAATGAGTTTAGCGGGAGCCAGGACAGCTCTCTGGCTGGAGGAAGAAATGAATCACCTGGGGCGGGGGCCGTAGTGGGCGCAGCCAGCGGGAGCCGCACTGAGGCCTGGAGAGGGTGGGGAGACGCAGTGACTGCCCCCTCCTCCCCCTCTGATCTTTTGCTGAGGCTTCCCAGAGCTGAACCTGCAGGGAGCTGGGGGTTTCCTGACCGTGTCCTGCAGAAAGTGGGGGGCAACCTCCTGGGGGCAGCGGAAATGGAGACCCACCGGATGGAGAACATCATAGGCCGTCAGAAGTGAACCTTCTGGAACAGATGAGGCACAAGGAGCCCAGAGAGCTCTGTGACCCAGAACGTGAGCTAGCAGCCAGGCTGCCACTGTGACTGGGACCTCATTGCGCAGTCCTGCACGGGCTCGTGCCCTTACTGAGTCCTGAAAAAGTTTTCAAAAGAACAGGGATGCAGATTGCTTAGGAAAAAACAGAAAGCAAATGAGAGAGAACGCTCTCCAGCAGACGTGGCATTGGCCGGCCAGCGGGCGTGGGCCACCGTCCAGGCTGCGCAGTGACCGGCGTCTGTCTGCAGGGTGGGTGACGCTGGGCTGGGGCTGGTCTGCATGCTGCTGCTGCTGCTGCTGAAGCTGATGCGAGACCACATGGCTCCCACGCACTCTGAGACGCCCCTCGGCGTGCGGCTCAGCCACGGGCTGGTTTGGACCGCCACGACAGGTGAGGCGCCTGCCGGCTGAGGGACGGCTGCCACCGCCGCGCCGCGCCGCACAGCCTGGGCCGCAAGTCCTGGTCACCCCAGGAGCTCCAAGCCACATTCCTGGAGACTCCCTTACCGCCCGTCTGGGTGCGACTTGGGAACTGGGGTATTTAAAACTCGCTGGGTGGTTCTGATTCGCCCCTGGGGCCGAGAACAGTGTTTTGCAGTGGGAGTTCCCAACCAGGGGTGACTTTGCCCCCAGGGGGCATCGGGCAGTGTCTGGACATGTCTGGTTGACTCTACCGGACACTACTGGCAGCCTCCCCCAGCAAAGAATGAGCTGGCCCCAAATGCCGACAGCGCTGGATGGAGGTGCCCTGATGTGTAGGCAGCTCCCTGGGGGGCAGAGGGAGGATGTGCGGCTGAGAGCCAGAGGCTGTGCTTCACTCGCGTACCTGCTGGAGGTGCAGTTTGCTTCCGGTGTGGAATCAATAGGCTCATTGAAGAAAGGCTGCAAAGGGAAGAGGCCCAGTGTGGCCGCCTCTGGCCCCCCTGGCTGTGCCGCGTCCGTGACCCCAGACGGGAAGGCGGGTGCAGAAGCTGAATGGGTTGTAATCTGACATGATTGACGGCTCATGGCGCACTTCGCAGACACAGTGCTTTTGAGTCCCATGACGGCCTCTGGGAAGGGTCATCGCTTTCCCCATGTGAGCTTCGAAAGGTAAAACAGACCAACCAAACACGACCTCTCGACTCACACAGCGAGGACTTACCCCAGGTCATCTGCCTTGTTTTCTGATCAGGAGATGTGCAAGTGTGTTGATTTTATTGATCTTCTCACAGAACCAACTTTTTATTTCATTGATCTCTGTTGCTTTTGTCTTCTACTTCATCGATTTATGTTCTGATCTTTATTATTTCTTCTCTTCTGCTTATTTGGGGCTTACTTTACCTTTCTTTTTCAAAGTCTGAAGGCGGAAGCCCAGGATGTCGACCTGAGACCTTTCTCTTTTTCTAGTAGAGATGGTTAGTACTATAAATTTCCCTCTGAGCACTGCTTTGGCTGCATCTCACGATTTTGACTTCTTTGACTCATGGATTATTCAAAAGTGGTTTATTTATTTTCTCCTTTGAACCAGGAGCTATTTAGGAGTTATTGAGTTCCAAAGATTTGGAAATTCTCTAGTTAGTATTTAGCCATTGATCTCTAATTTAATTCCATTGTGGTCAGAGAATATTCTTTGCATGGACGTACGCATGTAACATTACAATTTTCTCTTGAAATGACTCTCTTCGTCCATGGTAATAGTCTTTGCTCTGAAATCTATGTCGATATTAATAAATCTACTTTGCCGTTAGCTTCAAACCTACTTTGATTTACCATTCCAGCTTTTTTGATCAGTATTAGCACGTGTTTTCCCATCCTTTTACTTTTAATCTGTTTAACTTACTCTGTGTCTTTATGTCGAAAGTGTTTCTGTGGGAAGCATCTAGGTGGGTTCTGTTTTTCAGTTCCATCTGACCATCTCTGCCTTCTACCTGGGGGCGATGCCGCTTCTGTTTAATGTGATGATGGGTGCGTTTCAGACCTTCAGCTCTTCCGCGTTGCCATTCGCTTCCTGTTTGTCTCGTGTATTCTTCGTTTCCTTTTCCTCATTTTCTACAGTCTTTAGGATGGAGCGTTTTTTATGATTCCCCTGATTTTCCTCGCTGGCTTATCGACGGTAACTCCTGCGTGGTTTTTCGTGTGTTTGTTTGTTCGCGATTGCTTTAGGGTTAGTAGTATACCTCTCTATCTTACTGAAGTATACATTCGATTTCGTGTCAACGTAAGAACCAAGACAGGATAGATACTTCCACGTCTCCCTTCCTAGCCTCTGGGCCGCTGACCTAGATTGTTCTTCAGCATCCATTATAAAGCCCACAGCAATCTCACTTCTCCCTTGAAACGCACCCTTACTTTTAAGAAAAAGAGCCTTGCGTTTACCCACATCGTCACACGGTCACTCCTGGTGCTCTGCGTTCCTTCGTGTAGACCCGGATCCCCACGCCCGTCAGTTTGCCTCCGTCTCGTAGGGCAGGCCTGCTGGCGATGACTCAGCTTTTGTGTGTCTGGAAAAGTCTTTATTTTGCTTTTGTTTTTGGAATGTAGCTTTGCTAGATACAGACTTCTACACAGGTTTCCCCGCTTCCAAACTTTAAAGATGCTGTCCTGGCCTCGGCCTGCCTCGCTTCCGACCCGACGGCTGCCGTCATTCTTATCTTCGTTCCTTGGTCTATGACCTGCTCTTTGGCTACTTTTAAGATGCCGTCTTGACCGCTGGTCTTAGGCATCTCGATGAAGATGTGCCTGGTCGTTTCGGTTTTGTTCTTCATGTTTCTTGAGCTTGGGATTCACTGAGCTTCTCGGATGCGCGAGTTTGCACTTTTCACTGAATTCAGAATTCAGAGCCGTGTACCGCCCCCCGCGCCGCTCCGCGGGCTTTCTCCGCGGACTTTCTCCGCGGGCTTTCTCCGCGGGCTTCCTCCGCGGGCTTCCTCCGCGGGCTTTCTCCACGGGCTTCCTCCGCGGGCTTCCTCCGCGGACTCTGGTGCACGTGGAATAGGCTACTTGAACTTGTGCCGTGGCTACCCATTCTCTGTACGATTTTTCTGCCTTTATTTTCCTCACGTCTCATTTTGGATAGCGTCTCTTGCCACATCTTCAGGTTCACTAGCCTTTTCCCCTGCAACATCTAATCTGTTTTTAATGCCATCCAGTGTATTTTTCATTGCAAACATTATGGCTTTTATTCCTAAAAGTTTAATCTGGGAGCTGCATACATACGCACACACACACACCATTGGTCCAGGTTTTAGTTTCAGGAAGCAGGGGACGCCTGTGTCACTCCATCTCGCTTGAAAGCGGAATCGTCCTGGTACAGCTGACCCCAAAGAGCGTTTCCAGCTCTGCTCTTAGCTGTGCAGTCACCGGTGACCAGTAGGTGACGCGCACACTGGCCCTGTGTACTGCTCGTCCTCTGTCCTACCTTTATGCATTTTGCATGGGGTCGTGGGTTCACGCCAGCCACACGGTCGCTTGTATCTGAGCTGCATCCGAGGCCGGAGTATAAGAGGCCATGGCCGGGAAGGGTCTTCTGCTTCCGTACCCGGAGCAGGCGGGTCTCACCGACGGGTCCCCCTCCATCCTAGCTCGCAATGCCCTGGTGGTCTCCTTTGCTGCCCTGGTCGCGTACTCCTTTGAAGTGACCGGACACCAGCCTTTCATTCTAACCGGGAAGATAGTCGAGGGGCTCCCTCCAGTCCAGGTCCCTCCTTTCTCAGTGACCACTGCCAACAGGACAGTCTCCTTCGCCGAGATGGCACAGGTGGGTAGAAATGGGGAGCCGAGGCTGCAGCGGCCCCTGGGCCTGGTTCTGTACCCCTAATGCATCTGCTTGGCGACAGGGAGCTCTGAGCTCAGGCCACCGAGTCCTCAGGACAGGGCGTCTGGGCTCAGGGACAGACAGGACAGGGTTCCAGACCGGGCACAGCCTGAGGGAGCCCCACATTGATTTCTCTGCCTCAAGCCCAGGGGCGTCCCTGCCGTTGTGGACGCTGGTGTGGCAGGAATTTGCTGTCCTGCCCCCGGCCTGCCCCTTGTCCGGTCAGCATGCGGGAGCTCACGGCCCTGCAGCCAGACAGTGTTCGCGCGCTCTGCCAGATGTGGATGAGCCAGTGTCTGCCTTGGCCGGTCACTGCCTGCTCAGATCCTCCTCCCCCAGGGGCCGCTCACCGTCCGTCTCCCCTCTCGCAGGATATGGGGGCTGGGCTGGCCGTGGTGCCCCTGATGGGTCTGCTGGAGAGCATCGCGGTGGCCAAATCCTTTGGTAAGGTGCCACCACTGTCCCCACTCTGCCGTCCCACCCCGGGGCTCCACCTGCCTTGCTTGCCTGCTTTCTTGCTTGCTTTCGTCTGTTCTGATCTGTAAAAATTTGAGTTTTGATCCAAGTAATACAGTGCTCACTCAAGTTTTTAAAAGAAATCTATAGTAAAATGGAATTTACAGGAAAAAAATGCATTCCGGGGCGGCTGGGGGTGTTTGACAGCCCGCCATCCATGGACCAGCGGACCCCCACACGTTGGCCCCGGATTCTGGTCCCGCTGTGTGAGTGGCGGCCCCTCAGCCCTTGACGTGGCCCTGCCCTTCCCTCTCAGGCCCGCTGGCCGTCCAGCGATGCGCCCTCCGTGTGGGTGACAGCTTCATTTCATGCCGTCACACGGTTAAGTCTTCTTGTGCTTGGACAGAGCTTGATTCCAGGGGTTAAAACCTAATAAACAGCCTACGTCATCACAACCTCATAGCCCGTGTTAACCGGCCAGGTTGCGCCCGCGTTACATTTCCTTCTCCAGGGTTCCAGCATCTTGACGCTCACACTGTCCCCAGGAGACCCTCTAATGTCCCTCATTCGGGGCTTTCCTTTCCAGACGCCCACAGCTGCTCGAGGTCACACTGGGCGTTTCGGTTGCTGGAGTGACCGGCTCACAGCTTTCTCCATTTTTTTGTCTTCCCGGTTTGTTGTTTGTTTTGACGGCCCAGCTTGGAACCTGGGCGTCTTCGTTTGCCGATCTCCTGCCCTAATTTGTGAAGCTCGTCATTTCCGGGGTTCAGTAAACCACAGCCTGCTGCCCTCATCCGAGGAATGGCTTTTGTGTTTTTAAATGTTGGAAAAAAAATTCTAAAGGAGATTAGTAATTTGTGACGCACGAAAAGTATATGAAATTCGCATTTCTGTTCACAAAAGGCTTTGTGGGAACCGGCCTTGCTCACTGCTCATGTGTTCGCTCCCTTCACGCTCCGTGGCACACAACGTGGCCTCTGGAGCCTGACGCTTCACAGAAAACCTTTGCCCACCACGGTCTCTATTTTGTCCCCCAAATCTCTGCCCGCTCATCTCTCTGCAGTGGCCTCGTCTGCGGCTTTCTAGTCATCTCGACTTGTACTCAGAGAGGTTTTTAGTTTGAAACTTTTTCCCTGATTATAAAAGTGACACATATTTGTTGTAGAAAATATCGAAAGTTTGGCAAAGTATAAAGAAAAAGGAAATCACCTGTCGTCGTCCTCGACCCCTGACCTCTGTTGACATTCTGCTGTCTGTTTCTGCTTCTTTTCTGAAACACAGACACGTACCTGTATACACTTGATTGTGTGTGCATATTCTACGTAAGTTTCTGCACTTATATTTACAAAACTTTGGACTATGCCGTAGGGAGAAACTCGTAACCTATTTTCATTTCATGGACGTTTTCCTACTGACGTCAGGTATCTAGTGACAACGTTTTTATCGTCTCTTCTCTTTAGCGTCCCAAAATAATTACCGCGTCGATGCCAACCAGGAGCTGCTGGCCATCGGTAAGACTGGGGTGTCGCTGTCACGAGTTCTGGGCGCCTCCCTGTGTGTCTGTCGCCTGAGTTGTGATGATTCCAGTGACCGCTGTGGTGGGGCGCAAGGGGCAGAGGTGGCCCTGTGTTGGGTCAAGTTAACCACGGACTCGGAGTGGGAGGAGGGGCTGGACGTCTGGTGTCCATTCTGACTGACACCGGGCACCTGCCGCATACCAGACCCTGAGGCCTGCGGCATGTTCTAGCCCAGGAGTGACCAGAACGCGCCTCCTGGGGTTCAGAGAGCTGAAGAGCGTGGCCAGGCAGAGGCTCAGGCGAGCCCGCGGTCGTGCGGGGTCCTGAGCGCCTTTGTCCGCCTGGCCTCCCTCCAGGCGGGGTGGGCAGATTCGCAAGGCTGTCCCACCGTGGAAGGGGCCTGTGCCTGGTGTCACACTTAGCTTCCTTTTGTCGTTATGAACCTGGCCCCTCTGGTGGTTCAGTGTGAGACCGCGGCGTGAATCTTAAATTTGGTCGTGGTCACTGTTTTTATCTTCGTTGATACCAGGCCTTCCTGCCCCTCGTGAGGTGGGCACAGGTCCTACGGGTGGCACTGCTTGTCCCTTCCACTCAGACGACTTCCCGGAGCATTGGGACCCCAGCCGCTGGTGTCTTGGCAGCGAAGGGCATGGGGCCCCAGGGTGCGTCACGGGCATGTAGCCGGTGCTGCTCTGAGCTCATGGTCAGTGGAGTCGGTGGCCCCAGAATCGCTCGCCCCAGAGCAAGTCTCTGACTTTCCACGTGCCCGCCAGTAAATGGCCCAGATTTGAGTTCAGAGCTTGTCATGTCCACCTGCAAATGGCACAGACCCTCCCCTGATGACACGGTGAGTCTAGGGCACAACCCAGACAGAAGCTACAGGCAGGACAGTCACAAAGCTGAGGTTTCTGAGGTGGACATGTTGACCTCACAGGCTGCTGACCCCGTGGTGTCAGGCCAGGCAGCTTCCCGCAAGCGCAGAGCAGGGGGCTGACGTGTCCCTCACAGATCACTGGTGCTAGGAGGCGTCCCCCCTATACCCCCTCTCGGCGTGAGCTGGGCTGTGGGACCCGGGGGGCCTGGTTATGAGTGGACCCCACCCTGAGCTGTCTCACCTGGGGCCCCTTGTGGGTTTCGTGGGGCGGGGAGCCCGTGGTCTTTGCGAAGGTCTGTGTGGGATGGATGCTGCCTGGCCACCTGTGCTGGACATAGCTAATTAGCCTGGTTCTTAGGTCCTAGCCAGGCCCGGGCAGGGTTCCATCCAGCGTGGGTTAATTCGCGTCATGCGTCACGTGGGGACGACAGCCTGCTAGCTGTGACCTCTGCCTGTCGACTCCACCGTGGACGGCAACGGACCTCCTGGGTGCTTTGGGCCCGTCCATGCCATCCTCGGCCATCCCCATACACCCTCCTGGGGAGCTGGGGTTCTTGTCTCCATCGTGTGGGAAGAAGGCGTGTTCCATCACACAGTCCAGGGCCATCCCCATACACCCTCCTGGGGAGCTGGGGTTCCTGTCTCCATCGTGTGTGGGAAGAAGGCGTGTTCCATCACACAGACCAGGCCGGGCAGTTATTTTTAAGCTTGAGAGCGAGATTCGACCTCAGCGAACTCGGCAAAGACCTTGGTTGGTTTTGCCCGTCCCTGAGAGACCCGCCAGGTCTGGGCCGCCCCCCGTGGCTCCCCCATCTCAGTCTTCCCGTCTCCTGGCTCCATCTCCCTCGCCCTGCTGCCCCCCTCCCATAAGCCAGTCTGTTCTGTTTCCTCCCCAGGCCTGACCAACGTGCTCGGCTCCTTCGTCTCTTCATACCCGGTCACGGGCAGCTTTGGACGGTGAGTGACCACTTCCTTCTCTATGCTTCTGAGGGGTCCCAGCCCAGGCCAGAGGGTCCTTCCCCGGCCAGGCCCTGGCCCGCGTCCCGACGCCAGGGTTACAAGTCCGCCCATCCTGGAGGCCGGCCGCCCTGGTCAGCCGCTGCGGCATCGCGGGTGGCTCGCCTGCTCTGCTCCAGGATCCCGTCCGGTTTTCTTCGCACGCACACGCGGCCGCTGCGCGTTGATGCGAATAGGTCCGCGAGCACAGGTCCCAGAGCCGGCGCCAGGTCCTAAGGAGGGCGGGGCGGGGGCCGCAGCTCCACGCTGGGGGCGTAGCGTCCCCGTGGGGGCCCCACGCTGCCCGCGCCTCCTGGGGTCCCTGCCTCCCAACTTCCGCTGCTCGTAAGGACACCAGTCGGACCAGACGGGGCCCACCCTAAGCCCTTGCCTTAGCTCAGTCACCTCCTCGAAGACCCAGCCACATCTTCCGGAGCTGGGGTGGGGCTTAGGGCTTCAACACGAGGGTTTGGGGGACACGGCTCGGCCCACGACAGGGAGGTGGACGTAATACTCTCTGCTGGATATTTGGGTTCGTGACCAGGCCCTTGTCGGGTGTGCCGAGGGGTCGTTTCGGGTTTGTTTAGGAGGTCCGGGAAGTCCCCCTTTGGTGAGAGGACCCCAAAGCTGCGTTGTGCCCCTGAGCCTCATGCCGACGTTGACGGGGCCCGTGTTCCCTCTAGGGTCCGTCCTCGGGCCTCCCCTGCTCCGGCCGCCACTCACCGGTGTCTGTGTTGCTTTCCAGGACAGCCGTGAACGCGCAGTCGGGGGTGTGCACCCCAGCGGGGGGCCTGGTGACGGGTGAGCACCCCATATACGGCTCCCCCGTGTGCCACGTCGCCCCGTGCAGGGGCCGGGCCCTGGGTGGGGGTCGGCGCCTCGGGGCGCTGCGGTTACCGGTGTCCGCGCCCCCACAGGAGTTCTGGTGCTGCTGTCGCTGGGCTGCCTGACCTCGCTCTTCCCCTACATCCCCAAGGCGGCCCTGGCGGCCGTCATCATCATGGCTGTGGCCCCCCTGTGCGACCCCAGGATCGTCAGGACGCTCTGGCGTGTGAAGAGTACGTGCCCGCTCACCCGTCAGCACAAGGTCACGGCTGCCCTCGCCACCTCCTCCGAGCCGCAGACGGGCCGAGTGGCTCTGGGAGCTGTGACCGGGGCCCCGGGTCAGGGCTGCCATGAGGATGGGTCTCCCGCAGCTCGGAGCCGGCGTCGTGGGCGCTGGGCGGGTCTGCGGTGCGGGTGTCATCCCCACCTCCACCCCTCTCCACCTTGCAGTCCCTGCGGGGGGCTGGGGGACATCAGGGAGACCAGCAGGGGCCAGTGCGGCCGTCACAGTGGCTCAGGGTCCCCGGGGCCAGCAGCCCCCCTAGCGCACCAGGCCTGTGTTCCCTTCCACGCAGTTACGGGGCACGTGCGGCTTCCCTGGTGTCCTTGTGGTCGGCCGCCCTGCGAGTGTCCAGCGGACGGGTCAGTGACCTTATCCCGTGTCCGTTACGTGCCAGGGCTTCTTCTGTGTCATGCAGCCCGTCTTCGAACAGCCTCGTGCTGCTGCTGTGCCTCTGAGAACGTGAGGCCCAGGGAGGGAGGGGACCCAAGTGACGTGGGGGTAGTCACATCCCAGACCGACCCCTAGCCCGCCCACTTCGCCCCAGGACACCCCCTCCTGCAGCTCAGAGGAGTCGCGAGTTTCAGCCAAGGGGTCCCAGGCCTGGGATGGAGGAGTCACCTGGTCTCCTGGCCTCCCACTTCCCAGGCCTGGCCCTGTCCCCAGGTCCCTTCCTCCTCGGTCCCCGTCGGCCTCCTCTCAGAGGGTAGGGCACCTGGGCCCCCCCAGGCAGGTCTCAGCGGCTCCCCAGTCCAGGTTGGGGGCATGGGTTTTCTGTCTCTGACACTTCCCTGAGCCAGCGTGGCCATCGTGAGTCCCCAAGTCCCCAGACAGGTCCCTAGAGGCTGCTTGGAGTCCTCGATAGTTTTACCCATTATGCGAAAAGCCACGGGTCATTTGCTGGTGGGTGGGGGCGGGGAGCTCCCCGGGGAGGGGCCGCCCTCAGCCCGTCTCCTCTCCCAGGGCTGGACTTGCTGCCCCTGTGCGTGACGTTCCTGCTGTGCTTCTGGGAGGTCCAGTACGGCATCCTGGCCGGGACCCTGGTGTCTGGGCTGATCCTTCTGCACTCCGTGGCCAGACCCCAGATGAAGGTACCAGCCCCCAGGCTCCCCGAGAGGTCCGCTGGCCTCAGGGGCCCAGAGGGCTGAGGCAGGCAGGACCCCTTGGCCTTCAGTTTGAGCTCGTGTTGTGCTCGTGGCCTGTGGCACTGCCAAGTGACCGTTCACCTAGCAGGTGGGAACGACCCTCTCAAACCACAGCGTCCTCCTGCTGCACAGGGGACCATGGGCGGGGCGAGGGCCCATGCCAGCTCTGCACCCTGTTCCCCCCAAGCCTGGCAGAGCCGCCCCATACGACTCGCCTCCGGGACTCACTAGTTTGCCTCCACCACTGTCCCCAGGTGTCAGAGGGGCCGGTGCTGGTCGTGCAGCCGGCCAGTGGCCTGCACTTCCCCGCGGTTGAGGCCCTCCGGGAGGCGATAGTGAGCCGGGCTCTGGAAGGTACGTGGGCCAGGGCCGGGGTCACCGCAGCCCCCTCTGCATCCGGTCTGCTCCTGAGGCACCCCAAGGCCCTGCCCTCCACAGTCAGGGCAGAGCTCGCTCCTCGAGTCCAAGAGGTCGGGGTGTCTCGGGGGCGTCTCCCCTGGCCCCCTCCTTCCAGTGAGCGCCCCTTGTCCTCATGAGGTGAGGGTGGCTGCTCCCCTACACTCACCCCTGAGGACCCCTCCCTCCTTCCGGAAGGAAAGGGCCAGCCCTCCCACTGCAGGAGACAGCTGCTGCTGTCGCCTCGGGCCCCTGACCCCTTCCCGCTGGTGTGACCGGCTCGCGCCTGCGCCCACAGCACCCCGCCCGCGCTGCGCCGTGCTGGACTGCACCCATGTCTGCAGCGCCGACTACACCGTGGTCCTGGGGCTGGCAGGGCTCCTGGAGGACTTCCGCAGCCACGGCGTCACCCTCGCCTTCGTCGGCCTGCAGGTGGGTGTCCCATAACAGCTGGCGCCTGTCACTTTCAAGCCAGCCCGTGAGGTTGGTGTTGTCATCATCCCCGTGTCGGGACGAGGGCACCGAGGCCCGGAGAAGCCGAGTAGCCTGCTCAGGGTCACACAGCAAGGGCGGGGCCCAGGCCCCAGACCTGGGGTTCGTGACCATGACGCTCCAGGTCACATTTATAGGGCACTCGTCCTCGTCTTCGTCCTATGGAGAGTTTATTTAAGCAACGTTCCCCTTCGAGCATTCCCCGCAGGCCTGGTCCTCTCCTGTCCCCCGCGTGGAGGGGGGGCAGCCGGGAGGGGCACCCACCCAGGGGCCGTGGACGCTGTGCCCAGGCCAGCGGGCAGCAGGGCTGGGGGCAGGCCCTGGCTGCCTACCCCGTGCGCCACAGTGGGAGTGTCCCGCCTAAAAGGAGCACCCGTCTGTCCCGCAGGTCCCCGTGCTGCGTGTCCTGCTGTCCGCCGACCTGAGCCACCTCCAGCACTTCCCCACCCTGGAAGAAGCAGGTGGGTGCAGCAGAGTCACCGGGGACGAGCTGGGACAGCCCAGTGTGCCCACACCCTGCAGGCGCAGACCCGCCGGACAGAACCCCGGGGGACGGGAGGGTCAGACGCTCGAGTCTGAGAGTGGGGAGCTCGGGGACGATGGGGGGACCGTGTGCGCGTTGTCCGGGCCCCTGGTGGCAGGGTCTTGGTTCTCAGGGCTGTGAGTGTCTTCATGTGAGGTTCGGTTCACGCGATGACATGCATAGCTCTGAACGTCAGTTTGGGTTCTGACGGGCGAATCTGGCCGGGATGTAGGACGTTTCCATCCTTCCAGAAAGTTCCTTCCTCCCTTCCCCAGTGACCCTCGAGGCGGAGCCCCTGTTCTGTTTCTTCCGCCGTAGTCAGCTCTGCCTCTTCCAGAGCTGCGTGTAGCTGGGGTCGTAAGACCTGTCTTCGCATCTGGCGTCCTCAGCCCCACGTGGCGACGCTGCACACTGCACGCTGCTCTTGCTGGAGCAGCTGAGACACCGGTCGTGGAGGCTGGATGAGCTGCGGCCCAGCCAGCAATCGGACAGGGCCTCCACGGCACGGAAAGGGGTGCGGTGCTGACGGGGATGGGGTGAAACCCGGCCCGGAGCTGGGGATGCAGCCGGGGACCGCCAGCTCCCTCTGCGCCGGGCTCTGAGATGCCGGCTCGAACCCCGTCCGTGAGCAGACCCTCCCCCACATCCCATTCTTAGTGCCTGAAAAGC